CGCCGCCCTCAAGGTATCGTGTGTGCCCCGGTGCCCCGCCGGCCTCCCCCCGCCCCCTCTTGCCCGCGGTGACCGCGCTCTCTCCGCAGGGCCACAGCGGGTCTGTCTCCTGCCTGGACTTCAGCAGCAATGGCAAGTACCTGGCGTCGTGTGCTGATGACCGCACAGTCCGGCTGTGGAGCACCCGGGACTTCACGGCGCGGGAGCATCGCTGTCTGCGCGCCAATGTGGGGCTGGACCACGCTGAGCTCATTCGCCTCAGCCCCGACTCACGGTAGGGCCAGGCCTCCCACACCTCATCCACCCCCAGCCCAGGGACCAGGACGTCCTGTGGACAGAGCTGGCAGTCACAGGGCCTGAGCCTTGGTTGGGATCAACAATGTGTTCTTTGAGCTGCATGGAGGTGACATCCCTCACAGGCTCTTAACGGTACCGCCGTTAAATGGCCTCTCATGAAAGCAGCTACCACTTTAATGTGGTTCTGAAGGCAAATATCCCAGTGCCCAGCTTGCTGCACCAGCGGAAGGTGTTTGTTACAGTCTTTGCCAGCAGGCCCTGCAGCTGGGTTGAGCTGCTGAGCCTCTCGGGGGGCTGGGGAGGGAGCTGTTGCTAGCTGGGAAGGTTAGTGGAAAAGCATGCCTTGGCACTTTGTGAGTGGCCTCCTTAAGAGAGAGGAAGGGATCTCATTTCCAGATGTCGAGTAATAAATTCTGTTCTTTTCCATTCAGCGTTGCAGCTGAGCTAACACAGGAAGAGAAGTTGGTGCCCTTGTAAAGCACGCAGCTTTTTATCTGCCAGTGTATTTCTTTCCCCAGGTGCCACTGAATTACCTATTAGCTTACCTGTTGTAGCTAGGCTGAGCTGAGGTAGCCTGTTTCTTAACCATTTGGAGTGTCTGTCCTTCCGCAGGGCATTCATTGTTTGGCTGGCAAACGACGAAACTATTCGTGTCTATAAAATGACTAAGAAGGATGATGACAGCTTCACCTTCACTGCAACTTCTGGGGACTTCCCAAAGAAGCACAAGGCTCCTGTCATTAACATAGGAATTGCAGAGACAGGTATGGAAATGAGCTGCTCACTTGTTGAGGTTCTGGAGATTGCCTTTGATTTTCTTGTAAAGCAAGAGCTGTTGGGTTGAAAGTGCTGGAGTTCTTGGCATTTCCAGGGCCCGTTTCTGCACCAGTACTTGATTTTGTGTAGTCTCTTTGATGTTACTGTTTAGCCTTTGTTTACTACTGAGAGAACTGAAAAGAGGTCATTTTCAGACAGACTATATTCCTGTAAGCACAGAACTAGCTCCCCGATATGCACAGTCGCTCTACTTGCATGTTCAGGGATGCTGTTGCAAAGAGGTCTGGTCTCAATATTGAGAGGATCACTGTTCTCTGGCCCACCAGTCTGTCTTTAACCAGTCAGAAATCTCTCTTGTGCGTTCATATGGTCTGTCTTGGACTTGTGGGATCTTCTAGGACAGAGGCTGTGGGGGGTATGTGTTAGTGGTGAGGGCTTGATGGATTAGTGCTTCAGGTATGTGACAGCAGGCAGTTGGATGTGGATGCGAGCTCACCTCTGTAACAGGAGAGCAGAGAAAATGTTAACTGAGACCTTTGTTTAGCTGTGAAAGTGAAAACTTAAACCTGCAACAAGGAGATGAAAGGTAAACAGGCAACTCCCTGTCTGGGCTGAGATGGGAAAGGGGAAAGCATGGAAAGCAGGAATCCAAAATGTAATCATGGATAACAGTAGTGTGGCCTGTAGTCAGCTACCTGCCCACAATCCATGACTTGAAAGCTACAAATACCTCAGGTTGTGTTTTAACTGTCTGGGGAAGATGGAGTCTGCTATGTTACTCCAGCTCAGTGCAGAGCTCCGCACGTGCGATCTGAGGGGTGCTGGGGCGAGAAGCGTGTGTGGTCTCTGAGTGCCCATCGCCAGCTGGCGGCTGCTGAAGCCAAGGGTGCGCTAAAGCATAACCAGGAGCCAAGTCCTCTGATACTGCTCTTCGCTCTGTCCTGGGAGATTGACAGTCCTTGAATTTTGGTGCTGCTTTTGGGGTTCTTGACTCTCCAGGTGCAGGGAGAGGTTGCCCTCCTAGGTCTTTGATAAGTCTGTGGCAGCATTGGGCCTCTCCTGATCTTTGCCTTTTTTTTCCCAGGAAAGTTTATCATGACAGCTTCCAGTGACACTACCATCCTGATATGGACCCCGAAGGGTGAAGTCCTGGCCAGCATTAACACTAACCAGATGAACAATGCCTACGCCACAGTGTCGCCCTGTGGGAGGTGAGGGGTGTGAGGTATTCCAGGCTGCTCCTGCTGCGGAGTGAGAGGCCACAGGAACCTTGCTCCTTCCGGGAGGATGTCATCAGTTCAGACCATTGGCAGTTAGCTGTTATTTTAATGCAATTTGCAGAGGGTTTTTAAAAAAAATCTGGCCCCCGAGAGTAGCCCCTCCAGGAGCACTGACTCTTGCCTGCATAGTTTCAGGCACTTGGTGGGTCACTGCTGTGCCTCAGCACTGCCGTTCCTGTTAATGGTCTCCTGAAGAGCTGAGGAGAACGGCCTTGGCCTCAGATAGCAAAGGTGGGACAAAGCAAAAGGCATATGCAAAACAAACAGCATTTCTAACTTGTCTGTAACCTTTTAAAGGTTAATTATAAAATTAAAATCTTTATTACTGGGAGATTTGTTTATCAGGAAAATCTTGTTCCCTGCCCTGTCTCTAACTTGTTGCTGCTGGAAGACTCGCCATGCTTCAGGCTCAGTGAGTTTGGGGATCAAAAGCATTTAGCTTTTTTTTACTTTGGCCTAAGATTTTCTCATTCCTAAGTTGTTCTGGTCCCTGGTGGCCTTCCTTAGTGTTGCCTTTACCAGCCTTGTTTCAGGGAAAACTTTTTTCAGCTGACCAAAGATTTGAATGTCAGTCAGGATAGCGTTGCCTTCGCAGAGCCCTGTTTCAGGCACCTCTCCGTGCCGGGGCTGCCCCAGGGCCCTGCCTTGCTCAGGAGGCCAGAGGAGGGTAGGTAACAGATACCCTCTATCTCTTCTTGTTCGTTCACCCAGGTTTGTGGCATCCTGTGGCTTCACCCCTGATGTGAAGGTGTGGGAGGTGTGTTTTGGCAAGAATGGAGACTTCCAGGAGGTGGCCAGGGCTTTTGAGTTGAAAGGCCATACTGCTGGCATACATTCCTTCTCCTTCTCTAACGACTCAAGGAGGTGAGTGAGTGTTACCTGCTGCCTGAAGGCTGGCCCTCGGCACACATCAGCTCCCCCCTCCTGGTGTGCAGGGCAGCAGCCCTGCGCAGGGGCAACACACTGCCCTGGGCGCTCTCCGGGGAGCCCAGGGCAGCAGAACCCTGACCTGCCACCTGCATATTCCTTGTGGATTTCCTCCTGGGTGTGACTGCTGTTCGTGCTCTGTATGTGTGTACTTGCGCTTCCCAAAAGAATGCTCTGTCTGGAGAGGATTCCTGGTTGGCAGGTGTGGCGGGGGAGGAGGTGCTGCCCGGTTCACTTGTGCTCATCTGTGCACTGTCTCCTGCCTGCAGGATGGCGACTGTGTCCAAGGATGGGACATGGAAGTTCTGGGACACGGCCGTGGAATATAAGAAGCAACAGGATCCGTACCTGCTCCTGACGGGGAAGTGTGAGGTGACGGAGCCATGTCGCATCGCCCTGTCCCCCGACGCTCGCATTGTCGCCATCTCTAGTGGCACAGACATTGTTGTGTACAACACGAGGCGAGGCGAGGAGGAGGAGCGCTTTCTGGCTGTGCACGGACAGGCCATAACAGACTTGGCTTTTGACACCAACAGCCGCTACCTGGTGTCCTGTGGGGACCGGGCCATCCGTGTCTTCCACAACACCGCCGGTCACCGTGCAGTGGTGGAAGAGATGGAGGCCATGCTGAAAAAAACTGGGAACAAGGCCACCCGTGAGCGGCTAGAGCAGCAGATCTCTAGTGCCCGCAAAGCACTGGCAGCCATCTATGGCAAGAAGCACTAGTCTTCCCTGGCGGTGGCACGTTCCCGGCTCTGCGGCCACCTTCTGCCTTTGGGGATTTGGGTTGGTTTGTTTTTACTGACACTGAATAATTTGTAATAAAACCTGTGCCTGGGTCCTTCCTCGCGTGCTGCCTGCCCCTAGGGACAGAGAGCTGGCCAGTGCCTTTGCCCAGGGAACATGAGGGGCAGTCGAGGGGCACCCTTGTTTCCTTCTAGTGGCTTCCAGGGGCACCCTTGTTTCCTTCCAGGGGCACCCTTGTTTCCTTCCAGTGGCTTCCACCCACTCTATCATCGATATCCCAGGGGTGTGATTGCTCAGACAGGGCTGTGAGGGCTTTCTAGGCTTAGAAAAGGGCAGTTTGTGTGGGAGTTTTTGCGGAAGAGGTGCCCAAGCTCAATCTTTGATGCCAAAGAAGGGGGAGCCTGGGACATGCTCAGCGCTGAAGGGGACTTGCCCCAACCTAAGATGGCGGCGTTGGCGTCGCCCCGCCTCTCCGCCGCTTCTGTGCCCGTAGGAGGGTGGGGCGAGCTGCGCAGGCGCACTACGCGCCCTCCGCCCTCTCCGCTCCCTTCCTCCGGGCGTGGCGAGCGCGGTGACGCACCACGCCATCCGCTGGGCGTGGGCGGGGCGCGCGCATGCGCGGAGAGAAGCGGCGGGTGCT